AGCCATGCTGACTGGGGAATTCTGGGAGTTGAAGTCCACTCATCTTAAAGTGGCCAAGTTTGGACAACACTGGCATAAAGCGATTATAGAAATGCTTTCATTTTTATAAAACAGGGGAAAAAATCTTACATTATCAACCTCATGTTATATATTTGATTCTGTGTATTACCAAATGAAGTCTCACTCATTTTCAGAAGGGTATATAATCATGTTCTCTAAATTAGTGTTTTTGCTACAGCTAGCATATAAAAGTTGACAAATTTAAGAATATAGTAGAACTGCAGTCATACCCAGTGCAGTTAAAACAAATCTTTCAAAAAGCAATGTTAATAATTAATAATAATCCATTAATAATCCATCAGGATAATGCATTATCATATTACGCTTAACTAAATATCCATTCACACATGTTCCTCACATTCTCACAATACAGACTGCCCTGCAAATAGCAGGGAAATAACTGCATGCTTAAAGTCTTGACCCAGAGGGTTATTTTGAGAGGTATAACAACATAATACCAGTTACTAATCTGAAGAATAGGATGACCAGTTCCCTATCCAATCACCAAAATGTTTTTGTGCATAAATGTAATATAACTTAGGGTTTAATAAAATAATAATTAAGAATAAACAACTAAATATTATAGTCTACACATTACTAATTATAGTTAAAAATAAATAACTGAACACCATCGTCTACCTTTTACATTACTGATCATGTAAATGTAATTTCCAAAGAACTATGCATAGTTCAACACTATTTTTTAAAAAACAATACTTAGATAACAATGTATAGAAGTGAATTTTCAGCTGAATATGTCTCCAAGAGACCAGACTGGCATCTAATGATCTTTCACTATTTGTTAGATATCTTTTTATTCATTTCAGTTGATTTAATGCCCTATTTTAATGGTTGCATCTATTTTTCTTTTAACTGTTACATTATTTTCATTGCAATTGTTATCTACCTTCAGTGATGTGTAAGCACTAAAGTGCTAGGATAAAAAATGATTTATTTATATAAAATCAATAAATGCTAATTATTTTAGAAGTGGATTCCATATTCTAAGCATTTTAACGTTTTAAAGAAGACAGTTTGCATCATACTTAGAACTCACTCATTGAAAACTACTGTAGTCACATTGTTTTCAATAACTTTGCCCTAAGCATGACTAAATCTGGATGTAACCTATAAAGAAAGAATAAACTATCTTCATATGTTGTCCTCATATAGCTATTTTGTTCACACATAAATGTGAGCAAAATAGAGCTACATGTTAATATTATAATTTGTTTAGAAATGCTTTCCAAACAGTATAAAATTTCAGCATTACTACAATCACCAATGCTTATCACCCTGAATCATAAAACAGGAAGTTCTTCTTCTTGAGTTTCTATATTTGCATAGTGCTGAAATATATTGGGAAAGTGAAGATATACATACGAAATTCTATTGACAATAGCATCTTCATCCTCTTGCTCATCTGAAAAAAAATACATATTTTAGATTACATTTTAGTGCCATGACTATTGCTAAGTGTTTTACTTCTTGTCTAATAGCAACTGATAAAGAGAAATTGTAGCATGATCAAAATGCAAAGTGCGCTTATCTTTCATCCTAATCTTAGACTGTTCTTTCACAAATCTCAAATTCAGGAAAGGGGGGTAGCAATTATCTTTCAAGAGACTATGCAGTCTTCACCAACCTAGTGTTCTACTAATGCTTGCATTAAAGTGTTCTTTGCTTGAAGACTTAGAGATGGAATTGCAAGCTGCTTACCCTAAAGTACTGGAGTATAACTTAGATTTCATTGGTCAATAACATAATAAAGAGAATATAAGAGCCATAAAAACAGAATTAAAAGATGTTGTTATCAGAACTTAGAAACAGTCATCACCACAGAGCAACAGTTAGTTACACATTAGATGCACCAAAATGGAAATGGAAATGCATGTTTTAATTCACATCCAACTGAAAGAACAGGCAGATAATATTCAAGTCCATCCTGATTTATTGTCACTGCTTCTAATCCAGCAAATTGAAATATTCAATATCCAACAGCAAATATTCAAAATCGTGCATCTGTATGTAAATCTCACATACGTGGGTGGAAAAAAACATATGCTTGTGAAGACACTTAGAAAATAAGGCATGCCTCTAACGTAATGAAGAAGGAAAAATACATTTAAATAGACAAGACTTTAATATTAAATTCTTTAAAATATATTAATATATTCATGTAGCTATAAACTACATTAGCTGTTCTGAAGTCTTATTTGTACCAGCGGGATCATACTCATGCAACTATTCATACGATATAAACAAGGCACCTGGAAGTAGTTTGGTAGCTAGGTGGCACTATGACACAAAAATCTCGGCCTTCTTTTCAACAGCCAGAGCAGCTGGACAGCTGCCAGGGAAAGTACAGCACAACCTCTCCATTTAACAAATCAAAGAAGACTACAGTCTGGATTACTACCTATAAGCTGGTTCTGGGACACTATTAGATTATATCCTATAACTCCCCTATAGTATTCAAAAGCAACATTTGTGGGCTGGTCATGGGTCCGATCTAAAGAGATAATTGATTATGATGCTTCCCTGATTAATTTGTGCTCTTTTCATAGAGTATTGGTCATTCGACAGAATAAAGCATCCTGCCTCTAGTGACCAGAAAAGGCTAAACTTACTCTTTAAAATGTATGAATACCTACAGATACAGTACTCAACTGCAAACAACCATAAAATCAAGTTACCTAAAGCACTAACTTTGCAACTCAGCTTATTTCTTACCAGATACAAAGTCTCTCCAGATAAAAGAAATTTGCAGCATCAAAAAAGAATCACTTAGCTATGCATATTTCATCCTCCAATGCAAGATTATCCCTTAGCCCCAGTTACCTGGGGCTGAAAGGGACACTCAAGCAGTCAGCTAAAGTGCAAGGGACATTCAGACAGACAGCTGGAGCAGCCCTTCTTTTCACACTGCATAACATCAAAGATCGTTTTCATCTGTTTGGAAAAAAGTACATGAGCTGTGAGGGTGATGAGAAACTAAGGAACACACAGTTGCTCAGTGCTGAGGTACATCTTCAAACCATGCCTAGAGTGGAAAAGAAAGCTAGAGAAGAAATGGCCCAGGGTAAGTACAGATGGAACGTGAGCATGCCAAATCGCCACGTGACACGTTAGCCCATGCACAAATACTCAGTACTACTCATGGACTCAAAATAATAAATAAAAAAAATAAAATAAAAAAATGCTCAAAAGCCTTCAATTGTGTGGATCACAACAAACTGTGGCAAATTCTTAAAGAGATGGGGG